CCAGCCTCGAAATCGGCGAGGCGGTGCGCATCCCCAGGGGTCGGGTGAAGCCGAGCCCGGTCGCCCGGCGAGGAGAAGTCGCCCTCGACCCGTCGGCGGGCGGTCATCCCGGCCCGGGTCGGGTGAAGCCGAGCCCAGCCGTCGGGCGAGGCGGAGTCGCCCTCCAGCCATCGGGCGAGGCGGAGTCACCCTTCAGCCGTCGGGCGAGGTAGAGCGGGTCCCAAGGGCACATGGGCGCTCGGGCGAGGCGGAACAAGACTTCCGTTTGGTCGGGCAAGAGATGTAACCGCGCTTTCAGGAGTCCTTACCGTTCGATGGTTCATTGATTCCTTCTCTTTGGGGTACCCCGGTATTAGGTCCCCGACACCAATTATAGTGTTTGCTTGTATATTGTTAAGTGTGATGTATGCCTTGAATGATGACTGAGTTAGAGCACCTGAGATCTTAGGAAACTTGTGTCATGCTTAGTGTTGTCGTCTTCTTTGCCATCTTAGCATGATAGATTGTGTGATGTTTAAGTTAAGCATCGCAAAGTACTTAAGTGTGTTAGTGTAAACTATGCTTGTCTTGCTTGCTATTTTGTGATACGTCTCATGGTACTATTCCTCATATTTATGCACTTGCATATTGCATCTCATCTAGGTACGCTAGATGCACCACGTGAAGGATGAGATGTTGGAGCCAAACCCGAAGACGGTGTTTGATGGATCTATCCCGAAGATGGAAGGACTAAGCAAGTGCTAGGACCTGAGATGTCGCCAGGACGGGAGGTGCTCACTTGCGAGTGCCGTCTAACTAACACTGACTCAGTGTGGGATCCCAGGCAAGCCCCGGAGCATTCTAAGTCTCCTAATTTACAAAAGCAATTCTTTCTATATATATGAGTTTATATATTGTTGCATTAAGTTGTAGGAGTTGATTGAAACCATTGATGCATTTATTACTATCCTTGCCTATCTTATTACCTTTTACCCTGTTAGGTCAGGATCGAATAACTGCTTAGCCTTGCTTAGACCGGTAGCGATCGGTGATATCCGGTCACCTACATTATAGGTGGTTACTGGAAGAATTTAGCTATAGAAAGAATGATATCCTAGAATTAACCATGTGTGATGAAAAATTGGAGATCGGACGGAAAAAGTTGGAGGCAACCAGACAGGGTTCTGGGGTGTTGTTAGTTTCCGTCTGTGTCGATTAAGGACCGATCGTTGCTCGTCCCTCTTGTCATGTTGAATGCATGCCTCACATTTAGCTGGCCGAATAAAGTACCTTTCGACCGCGAAGCTAGTGGCACTATTTGGGCCGGGATCTACATGAGTGCGCGTATTGGTGCTGATGGGGGTATGACAGGGACGCGAAGAGTGAGCCCAAGGGCAGGTGCGCCCTGATTCCTGGCAGTCGGGCGGTCCCTGGGTACTGTGGCTCTAGATTGTCCCGCGGCTACCTGAATAGTGTCCTTGGTGATATAAGCTACCCTAGCAGGGGAAGCATGGTTTGTGTGAGGAATAAATCACCAGCTGGTTAGGAATCGATTCGAATCGCCATCGCTCCTGGATAGTGAGCACTTGACTCGAGCTACGGCATCGTAGTAATTATTATGGAACAATGATGGTTATCTGGATGGTATGGGATATGCTAAATCTAAATTGGTAACTGGATGTTATTGGTTAATCAAGTGATTGCTATTGTACAGGTGCTTACCTAGATGGATAGGTTATAATAATGATGATACAAAGTACTTAAAATGGTTTCTTCATGATAGCTTATGCTTTTCGCAAACAAGTCAGCTAGCCCACTAAAGAAAGCCTTGCATAATCCTTGGTGTCGTTTTATTTTGGTTTAAGACGGGTAAGTCTAGCTGAGTACATTCGAGTACTCAGGGTTTATCCCACCATGTTGCAGGTGAAGTTCTTGGCCTGCGGAAGATGGTGGCTAACCGCCGGTGGGCTCGGTGACTCTATATTTACTTCTCGCCTATATGCTTTTATCAGAGGATGTCACTTATGCTAGCAATGTATTTGGAACTTATATTAATGTAATCATTTGAAAGCTATGTTGTTTTTCTCTAATCGGTTTTAAAACCCAAACTTGTACTATTATTTGTGAACCAAATTATAATATTATTTCCGCTGCAACTCTGCGTATGTGATGTGTATTTGCTTAATCACGCGATCTTGGTTGTGATGTTGATTTACCGAGGTCCTTCGTGACACTTGTCGAACTATCGGGTTTGTATAAGTGAAAGTATGCGCGTGTCAACGTGTTAGCGGGGACAGCCATACTTGATCTTGTATAAATTGGGTGGTTCTGTCACATGCCATCAGTATCCCCCTTAAAGTCAAAGCTCGGTTGAGCCCTCTCCTTGCAGGGCTGGACGCGGCGCACTATGAAGCTCACCGCCACCACCACTCCGTTCATCTTCATGCCCCTTATGAGCTCGAGGAGCTCCTTCACCTGCTCCATATCGGCGCTGGTCGGTTTCTCTGACCAGCTCCTCTGATTCTCCAGAATCTGGTCGACATCGCATCGGATGGCAGGATGACTCTGCTTCATGTAGAACCACCTGGCATTCCACCCCTTCAGCGAGGTATTCAGCGGCACAGTATTGTACTCGTCCGCCATCCCGTCGTGGAGCTGTAGATACACACCGCCGACCACTTTGGAACCGCCCCTCCCTTCTTCTTCAGCTAGAAAAGGTGTCGGAAGAGATTGAAATGGGGGAAGAATGCCAAGATAGGCCTCGCAGAAGTGGATAAACATAGAAATGTGCAAAATAGTGTTCGAGTGAAGATTGCACAAACTCACTCCCCAATACTCCAACAGATCCCGCAAGAAAGGATGTACCGGAAGTCCTAATCCACACCAGAAATAATCTTCAAACACAACAAGCTCGTCGGTGTGTGGCATCGGATAGGGCTCACCGTCGGTCGGACGTCATCCGACGGTGATACGGTCAGGAAGAACACCCGCCTCCACCATCTCATTGAGTTCCGTCTCCCCCATGAGTGACGGCACCCATTCATTGTCACGGCTCGCCCCGGCGGCCGCCTTCTTCGGGTTACCACCTCCCCTCTTTGGCGCCATCCCTCAGATCTAGATCGGAACTGGCCTTTTTTCGCAAGCTTTTTAGCCCTAGCGGCGGAGCGCGTGTGAATGTGAATGGAGGAGCGCTAGGCTGAGGAGGAAGATGAAGTGGCGAAGTGGCAAAGGTGGGAGCGTGGAGTGCAGTGACGTAGTTATAAAGAAACCGTACCCATTTTTCGCATTCAAGGGTTTTTGGGAAACCACATCATATTGATTTGAGCCCTTTCGAATTCCCCAAAGTGACGTGATGGGCCGTTATCTAGGCTTCCGTGCAACTGCGACCCATATCGCTTATTCTTCGACGCAACTTGGTACTGCACACTGAATATTCGTTGATTTCTCCGCAATACCATCAAGGCTCAATAATTTCTACTGTACAGCCATTACTCCAGTTTTTTCTACACGATTTGAGTAATCGGTACTTCTTGATTTGTTCGAGATTTCCACTTGTGGTTTGGGGACTACGTCATCATTATGACTCGGTTTCTCACCACACTGGGGACTTCTTCTGGTTACTATTGTTTCTGACCCTGACACCACGTGACCACGTCACCTACTGTCAGGCTCGGGGACTAAGTAGGCATACTTCACCTTGCGGTGAATGTACGCTTTTCATTTTAGGGCCATGGACTGGTTGCCTGCTCAGTTGGTTCTCTGCCTTTCTTCTACTTTCTGGACCCTGGCACCACGTGACCACGTCACCTACTGCCAGGCTCGAGGACTAAGTGGGCACACTTCACCTTGCGGTGAGTGTGTTTTCTTTAATCTGGAAGACTCCGTGCCTCCCGAAGTTGAAGAAGATTATCTCCCTTTCTCGTGGTCGGACTCTAAGTGGGTGTTCACAATGAGGAAATTTTCAATTTTGAACTTGAGCTCATTACATCCTTCTGGCAAGTCTTACTTGGGTTACTCTGCTCGGCGACGGTCCACAACTGCTCAACGACTCATTAGAGTGGTCGGACTATGAGTCTGACTGCTCGGCTTTATTTACACCTGCTCGGACGAGCTCAAGACATGACATTGCACAGCGGATACAAGGCGCACGGGGACTAGCTGTGGGGGGTACAACCCTGAATACCCACGGCAGACTATAAGGGCTGCGCTGCCAGGGGCGGTCCAGCCCACAAGACGAAGGCCTACGGTGCACAACATTGCTCGACATGTATTGCAAGACATCAAGGGCGATATTCCGAAGATGCTACGAGATCTGTTAGGATACGTTCGATCCCATAATTCCTGTAATCTGTTATTACTTTTCGGTTATCTCTTAAATCTAACTGACTTGTAACCCTGCCCCCCCAAGACTATATAAGACGGACAGGGACCCCCCTCAAAACACACGCAACATCATACGATAGCCAATACAAACCAACATATCATAGGAGTAGGGTATTACGTCGTGTAGACGGCCCGAACCTGTCTAACTCTTGTGTCTCTGTTGCCTTCTTGTTCTTGATTACGCGCACCTCTACCGATCAATCTACCTTCGTGGGATACCCCTCGGAGGACTGCCGACGATATTCTGTCGACAGTTGAGCTCGGTATTGAAGGTGGGCAGATTTGATCGTAGGCGAATACCACGGAAACGGCCTTCAATTCCATCCCTCAATGCCAAAGATATCAAACAACAGAATTTGAAAAACTCGGTTCCAATTCCAATATCCAGGTCTGAATATCTACATCCAAACGGGGTCTTATTAATATCAGAACCATACATTTTCATCAGGTTATTCTGGCACTACTAATATGGTACAAGAAGGGCAGGCCTAGTGCAGTGATCAGAGCTGTCTCGCTGAGTCACCAGGTTTGTCTTGGTTTATTCCTTCTCCAAACCCCACTCATGTGGGAGCCTCCGGCACTGGGTCTGCCCTTTTGCTGATATGCTACAAACATTTGATATGCACACTACTGTGGCATCATTGTTTGCCTGCATCATTGAGATTTTGATCGACTCGGGGGCCATCTTTTTTCGTCGGCATCGTCTGTTTTTCGTCCTCTTTGGTCACATGCTCCACGTTTTCACCTTGGCTGCCCTTGGCATCACCCTTCTTTCCCTTGAGGAACTGGATAAGGCCCTCGAGCGCGATGTCGGTGTCGTCGTTCCTCATAAGCACTTCCGCGACCTCTGCTGGAGTCACCATCACCTCCTTGATCAGTGCTTCTATCTCAGGGTACGTGTCGTGCTCGGTGATGGAGTGGTAGTTGGAGGCCAGGATTCTGAAGGACTCCGGGCAGCAGTACCCCATGTGGATGTGCATGTCCATCCTGCCTGGCCGAAGAAGCGCTGGGTCGAGCCGCTCCTTGTAGTTCGTTGTGAAGATAATGATCCTCTCCTCCCCACTTGTTGACCAGAGGCCATCCACGAAGTTGAGTAGCCCAGATAGTGTCACCTGTTTTGCAAATTGCCCAAATTAAAACCACATGAGCACGGCAAAGGAAAGCTAGTTAAGGAACCAAAAGACAGACAGGGCAGGGTTTGTTGGTTACCTTGTCCTCTGGAGGAGGAGGACTGGATTTTGTACCATCCTGGCCTTCCTCTGCACGTTGCTGCAGATCGACGGAGCAGTCGATGTCCTCGATGACGAGGATGGAGCGGTTGGTCATCCCGATGAGCAGCCTCCGCAGCGTGAAATTCCAGTTCACCTCGGTCAGCTCGAGATCGTAGACATCAAACTTGAGGTAGTTGGCCATGGCCGCAATGAGGCTGGACTTGCCGGTCCCAGGCGGGCCGTAGAGCAGGTACCCCCGCTTCCAGGCCCTGCCGATCCGCTTGTAGTACTCCTTCCTCCTGACGAACCTCTGGAGGTCGTCCATGACCGACCGCTTCATCTCGCGGTCCATGGCCAGCGTGGTGAAGGTGGAGGGGTGGTGGAGGCCGATGGCGAACCAGGACTCGCCCTCGTTCATGTAGATCTTGAGCGTCCTGTCCTGGTCCTTGATCTTCTTGGCCTCGGCGAGGATGTGCGGGAGGTAGGACGCGATGGCCTTCTCCTTGTGCCGCCTGTGGAAGCTCATCTCGAAGGAGCGGACCTCGACGCGGTAGTTGCCGCCGCCGCTGCCGCCGCCGCCGCGGGCGTGGCCGCTGCCGCTGCCGCTGCCGCTGCCGGCGCCGGCGCCGTCGCGGCAGACGAGGCGCCACCTGAACTCGGCGCCGTCGTGGACGTCGGCCATCTCCTCGCCCTCCTCCATGCTGAACATGAGGCTCTTGCCCTCGTCGACGCGGCTCACGCGGAGGCGCTGCATGTCGGCGTTGATCCGCGTCGCCAGGTACGTGCGCGCCGCGTCGTACAGCTGGTTGCTCGCCCACCCTTCCGTCTCCTCGATCACCACCGTGTGCTGCGACGACATGCGCGACCGCAGGTAGCCCAGCCCGGAGAAGAGGAACTCCCGCACCTCGTAGGGGACCAGCTCGTTCACCACGCCGCGCACCAGCATCGCCGACGCCGCCAGCGACGCCGCCGTCGTCACCGCCTTCTTGTACGACTCGATCGCCTTGTCGTAGGTCGCCATGGCTGGCTGGCCGGCCGGTGACCGCACCGTGTACCTCTCGCCGATCGTGCTCAGATCACCCTCTCTCTCTCGCTGAACTTTCAGACAGTTCTCTTGCTCGAAATGCCGCCGGGAGGATCTTGTGTTGGGTATGGAGCTGGGTTTTATGGACGCCAAGTTGTGTGAACTGTGAGTGATTGACGAGTTAGTACTAAAAAATGTAGTTAGCCTCTGCGTTGTCCACAAAAGGGTGGGGGGCCATGGCTTGTGAGTGTAGAAAAACCGGCGTCACGTTAGTCTCCCAAGTTTTCAAGTAATTTCCATGCGTACGGACATGGTTTCTTTTGGGTGGCGGCCAGCGGGCAGGGCAGAATGAACACGCACAAGACAAAGCCTCGCTGTGTGTTGGGTAGCGAAAGTGCATTATTATTCGTAGAAAATAGGAACCGAACTGGCGAGGCCTCGCTGGCCAACTCACTTTATGATGTTTGTATACTGTCACTTCAGACTCCCACGGATGTTGACCTGAGAGTGCCAGGGCCAAGGAATCCACTTATGGTTATATATGGAATTGATGGTGCTCGGTTAGTACAAGTTTAATCTGCAGCTTTTCGTGGATGCATTGTCGATTGGTTTGGCTCCTGTTTATGCTAAAAAATAGAACACCAACCAAATACAGAAGTGTTTCCACCGATAAGCTACGTAAATAAGGTAAAAGCACGGTTAAAATAAATTGGTCTCATCTAGCTCTTGCTTTTTAGTACAAATAAAAATAAAAGAACAGTTAAAATAAATTAGTCTCATCTAGCTTTTGCTTTTTAGTACAAATAAGAACAACAAGAATGAGCATGGTCGAAATACGTTGCAAAAAAGACAAGCTTGTTTTGGCCACAAGTAGCTTATAAGCTATCAAATATGCCTTATATGTGGCCCGCTGTTGATGTTTTTTTAAAAAACATACAAGGGTGCAAACCTGAGAAGTTAGAGCATCTCTAAGAGTTCCTTATTTTTTCTCCTAAAAATTTATAGTTTGACAACTTCTAAAAAGATTTAGGGAGAAAAAAGAAGATCATCTTCAAGAGTTTCTAATAAATGGCATCTAAAAAATCAAATTTAGGACCCACATGAATTACGTTTCGATCTGTACCATCATCTGATCAACAAGCACATCATCAATAGCCGGCCACAACCAGCCTTGGCAGGGCACAACGAGCCATGGATGGCCACAGCCATAGGAATTCAGAATCTTTGCAACCGGCAAGGTGAGTTGAGACACCGACATGGGTGGATACACGCCTGCATTCGCAGAGCTGAGTCTTCATTCGTGCAGATTCACGTTGACATGCAAAGCCTGCAGCGTGGTGTCGAGCACCTCAGAGCAGATCTTGCCCATGGTCCCGAAGGCGGCGAGGTCGGAGAGCTGGTTGACGGTCATCTCCGCCATGAGCGCCCGCGCCGCCGCCTCGCACACGCCGCTCACCTTGAGGCTGTTGAGGTACCCCGACGCGTTCCGCACCGTGGCGCCCATCTGTTTCAGCAGATTCTCCTTGAAAGGTCCTAATGGCTAGAGGGGGGGTGAATAGTCTAATAAAAATTTCTACAACAACACTAAACAAAAAGGGTTAGACAATTATGAGGCGAAGCAAGTGTTGCGCTAGCCTACTCAAGATACAAGCCACCTACCACAATTCTAGTTTAGGTAGAATCTAATCACACAATAGCTATGACACTAATCTATGTTAGTATGCTCTCAAAGACTAACTAAAGAGCCACACCAACCAACCAAGCAAGCAAGCTCTCACAACTAACTACACTAAAGAGCTTGACAACTAGTTTGTGGTAATGTAAAGAGAGTGATCAAGAAAGTTATACCGCCGTGTAGATGAAGGAACCAATCAATCACAAGGATGAATAACAATGAAGACCAATCATCTCGGAATTAAATGATGAACATAATGATTTTTTACCGAGGTTCACTTGCTTGCCGGCAAGCTACTCCTCGTTGTGGCGATTCACTCACTTGGAGGTTCACGCGCTAATTGGCATCACACGTCAAACCCTCAATAGGGTACCGCACAACCAACACAAGATGAGGATCACAGAAGCCACGAGCAATTCATTAAAGTACCTTTTGGCGCTCCGCCAGGGAAAGATCAAGAACCCCTCACAATCACCACGATCGGAGCCGGAGACAATCACCACCTTCCGCTCGACGATCCTCGCTGCTCCAAGCCGTCTAGGTGGCGGCAACCACCAAGAGTAACAAGCGAAATCCGCAGCGAAACACGAACACCAAGTGCCTCTAGATGCAATCACTCAAGCAATGCACTTGGATCACTCCCAATCTCACAAAGATGATGAATCAATGATGGAGATGAGTGGGAGGGCTTTGGCTAAGCTCACAAGGTTGCTATGTCAATGAAAATGGCCAAGAGAGTGAGCTTGAGCCGGCTATGGGGCTTAAATAGAAGCCCCCACGAAATAGAGCCGTTGTACCCTTTCACTGGGCACAACGCGGGGTGACCGGACGCTCCGGTCCGATCGACCGGATGCTGGCCCTCAGCGTCCGGTCACGTGATTCACGCCACGTGTCCCCTGCTTCAAATACTATTTGTCAGATTTCAACGGTCGTCTGCTGACCGGACGCGTCAGTTAGAAAGTGACCGGACGCTGGACTTCAGCGTCCGGTCATTTCCAGTAAGGTTCCAAACGCGATTTTTCCCGACCGGACGCGTCCGGTCATGCTTGACCGGACACAGCCAGCGTCCGGTCACACAATGTCTCTCTCAGACGCCCTACGTCAACAGTCGTCAAGACTTGACCGGACACACCCTACCGCGTCCGGTCATGAGACCGAACGACGCCCCTGATCATGAGACCAAACGCTCGCGCCCTCTGCGCAACTGAGACTAAGCGCCCCGGTCACTCAAAGGGACCTCCATCTTTTCTCACTAGGCGCACCGGTGACCATCGTCCCACACTCTATGGGCGGACACTCACGCCGATGGAGTTTCTTACCCTTGCACCTAAACTTCACCACCCTTGATCAAATGTGCCAACCACCAAGTGTATCACCTTGTGCACATGTGTTAGCATATTTTCACAAACATTTTCAAGGGTGTTAGCACTCCACTAGATCCTAAATGCATATGCAATGAGTTAGAGCATCTAGTGGCACTTTGATAACCACATTCTGATATGAGTTTCACCCCTCTTAATAGTACGGCTATCGATCCTAAATGTGATCACACTCTCTAAGTGTCTTGATCACCAAAACAAAATAGCTCTTATAATTTATACCTTTGTCTTGAGTCTTTTGTTTTTCTATTTCTTCTTTCCAAGTCTGAGCACTTGATCATCACCATGGCATCACCATCATCATGTTATGATCTTCATTTGCTTCACCCCTTGGAGTGTGCTACCTATATCATGATCACTTGATAAACTAGGTTAGCACTTAGGGTTTCATCAATTCACCAAAACCAAACTAGAGCTTTCAATCTCCCCCTTTTTGGTAATTGATGACAATCCATATACAAAGATATGAAATAAGATTCAATTGAATCCATGTTGCTTGTCCAAGCATGTTTACCATTTGTAAAAGGATATGGACAAGTTTCATAAACCTCAAATGGTAGAAATTGCTCCCCCTACATATGTGCTAAGAGTTTGGATTTTAGGTTGCACATATGCTTAGATAGGAAATATAGGAGACAATGTCTACCAAGTGATGCTAAGGTATAAAAGATGGACCTTTGAAGCGTGATACCAATCGGAGTGCACCATTATATCATCCTTAGCACCATGGTTAGCTTGATATCACTTGGAAACAAACACTTTGAAAATGAAATCATTAGATGTCCTATGCATGCTAGTTTTTCAATTCATCATTCAAACCTACAACTAACATACACCACACAAGCATGGATATTGAAATTTAAAACTTGTGCCATATAAGCAAACATATCGAATGCACATTCAAATGCACCATACAAGTTTATGAGCTTGCTCCCCCTACTTGTGTGCTTAAAATATTAATTGATTCCTTTCCTTTATCATATCTTTCTCCCTATGTCAAGTTCTCCCCCTTTGTTGTCTTCTCACCATCTTAGTACACTAATATCTTTTGTTTCTCTCCCATGTACTTTTCTCTTATCACTTATATCTTTGTTTCTCTCCCTTTGTCATCAATCATCATAAAGGTTTAAAAGGTAGATAGGTTGAAATTATCAATGTCAATCAATGGGGTGAGGATTATATTCCCAAATTTGGTTCAAACTAGAATATTTGCCAAAGATATTTAACTCGGTTTGATCCAAGAACAAGCTTCTTCACACCTCCAAATAAGGGTTATCTTGTACCATGTTGAGTTAAACACTTAGAGCGTATTTTCTAGATCAAACACTAGGTTTACAAGCCCATAAACAAGTCATATGCTATCACTAGACAAGTCAAGCATAGAAGCAATAGTGATACCATATAAACATTAAATTTATTTGACTTTTATGAATGAGCCTAATAAAATAGAGAAATGACTAGATGCACTAAACATGTCCTTAGCAAGATTATATGCCATGCCAATCAACTTTTACCTTGGATTGCTCGAAGAAGAGGCATGTCATATAAGTGGGGAGTGCATCAACACATATTTGAGAAATCCAATATGTTCAACTCATTCCTTAGCTTGCAAAACATTTTCTCATCTAATGGCTTGGTGAATATATCGGCAAGTTGATCTTCGGTGCCTACACTCTCAATGCAAATGTCTCCTTTTTGTTGGTGATCTCTTATGAAATGGTGGCGGACATCAATGTGCTTTGTTCTTGCATGTTGAACCGGATTGTTGGTTAACTTGATTGCACTCTCATTGTCACATAGCAATGGCACTTTCTTGAACTTGATTTCAAAATCACTCAAAGTGACCTTCATCCAAAGTATTTGTGCACAACAACTACCGACGGATATGTATTCGACTTCGGCGGTTGATAATGTAACACTATTTTGCTTCTTTGATGACCATGAAACAAGTGATCTTCCCAACAATTGACATGTGCCTGAAGTGCTCTTCCTTTCAACCTTGCATCCCGCATAATCCGAGTCAGAGTAACCAACTAGCTCAAACTTTGCTCTTTTGGGATACCACAAGCCAACATTTGGTGTATGCTTCAAGTACCTCAATATTATCTTTGTAGCCTTCAAATGACTTTCTCTTAGTGAGGATTGAAATCTTCCACACATGCATACACTAAACATGACATCCGGCCTTGATGCGGTCACATAGAGTAGGCTTTTAATCATAGACCGATACAACTTTTGATCCACCATATTTCCACTTGCATCACTATCCAAGTTGTCATTGGTTCCCATAGGTGCGCTAATGACTTTGCTATCACTCATGCCTAACTTCTTGATCATGTCCTTGATGTACTTGCCTTGACTCACAAAAGTACCATTCTTCAATTGCTTGATTTGAAGACCAAGGAAGTAACTCAACTCTCCAATCATGGACATTTCAAACTCATTAGCCATCATCTTTCCAAACTCATCATAAAAATCTTGATTGATTGATCCAAATATGATGTCATCAATATAGATTTGCAAAACAAATATATCTTTTCCAATCTTCTTGATGAAAAGAGTGGTGCCAACCTTGCTCATTGTGAACCCTTTAGAGAGTAGGAAGTCCCTCAATCTCTCATACCATGCTCTAGGTGCTTGCTTCAAGCCATACAATGCCTTCTTTAACTTGTACACATGGTCGGGCTTCTTATCATCTTCAAAACCAGGAGGTTGCTCAACATATACTTCTTCATTGATATAACCATTGAGAAATGCACTCTTAACATCCATTTGATAGGGCTTGGTGTTGTGGGCACAAGCATAGGCTAGCAAGATTCTAATTGCTTCCAATCTAGCAACCGGGGCATATGTTTCTCCAAAGTCAAGACCTTCAACTTATGTATATCCTTGTGCTATCAATCTTGCTTTGTTCCTTACTACTATCCCATCTTGATCTTGCTTGTTTCTAAAGACCCATTTGGTTCCAATCACATTATGTCCCTTCGGTCTCTCTACTAATTCACATACTTGATTTCTTGTGAAGTTATTCAATTCTTCATGCATAGCATTCACCCAATCAACATCCTTCAATGCTTCATCTATCTTCTTTGGTTCAGTGGATGACACAAATGAGAAGTGTTCACAAAATGATGCCAATCTTGATCTTATTTGCACACCTCTTGAAATATCACCAATGATAGTGTCCAATGGATGGTCCCTTGTAATATTGGTTGGTTGGAGGATTGGAACTTGATTTCTTGCACTTGCTTGATCATTTGGTTGAGATGATGTACTAGCCACGTGATCTTGTTCATTTTCATGAGAGCCACTTGTACTAGCTTGATTTCTATCATCTTACACATTTGAGTTGGAGAGCACTTGCACTTGATCATCTTCATCATCATTTACTTGCCTAGGCCTCAATTCACCAATATCCATGTTCTTCATGGCATTTGAAAGTTGAATGCC